ACACAGTCACACACACAACGTTTACACAAGGACTTTATAAACATGGAAAGCCTTAAGGTTTGAGGAGCCCAATGGTATTTATGTCACAACAAAGCAAACAATTTGGAATTGAATACTGGCTAACCTTGTTCTAAAAGAGATTGCTTGCTTGGCTGGAAGTCCTGGCGTTCGCCTTGCTTGTCTTTTTTGGGTGTTCACCAGCAACTCAAATAAGCACCTCAGTCTTCAAATCTTTATTCTCAGTCCCACTCCAAAACTTTGCTCTCTGCCTCCTTTGCAAATCTAAGGACAACTTGTAAATAATGGACCTTCTCTTCCTTTGCTGGCTTCTCCCTCATCAGAGGGGAGAGTAGAGATGAGAGTAGAGATGAAATTTATTTCTCTACATGAGCTATGCTACCTCTCATAATAATTTAGTGGTGCAGTTTTGGCTTGTCTGTGTATGAATAGAAATATTTATGTGCATGTGTATGTATAGAAATATTTATATGCACGTGTGTGTGTGTGTATACAGACACACATATATATTTCCTGTGTTTCTGTAATGCTCTTCCTGATCTTTGTTCTAAACCTTCAACCCCTCATAATTACAGCTAGTCTCAACCAGAGTTTATCAAACCTTGCTGCTAGCCTGAACCATGCTGGGGAGGAGAATGTTGATGGGGCTTGGGGGGTAGGAGGGGTTGTCCCTTTATATCATATGTTTAGCAGCATCCCTGTCCTCTGTTTGGTTGTGAACAACCAAGAAAGTCTCTAGATACTGCCAAAGTCCCCTAAAACCCTGACTGTGAGCCACTGGTCTAAGCTAAATTCTTCCTATAATAGTTTAAATCCATGATGCCTTAGTCTGTCCTAGAGTTTGTCCCCATAGTGTGTTTAATATTAGGGGAAGGGATTTATTCATTGAAAAGAACGATGGGGGGGGGGGTCCTAGCAGCTGCTGGTTCTCTCTTGATTCCCAAGGAGAATCATCAACACCTGGAAACTGCATTTCCTAAAGTTTCCCTATTAACCCACATGCATGGAGACAAGGATAGTCAGCTCTGCGTCCAGTGCCTTCTCTAGTCCACTTGACTCTCTCCATACAGCAGGAAACCTCACCAGAACCAGGGAGTGGCCTTTGGGCTTTGGCTTATAAACACTCATGGTCTCATTTTTCTTACTGAGAATTTTTTTTTTTTAAATCATGTTTAACATTCTTGTTGCCGTAGTGGAAACTTTTGTTCTTTGGAGAATTTCCCATTCTAATCCAGGCCTTTGGTCAGATTCCTCAGCAGAACTGAAAATTTTCTAGGGAAGATTTTTTCAACCGTTGAGGTTATACCTTTGATGTATTTACACTACTGTGGTTGGATTCCATGTGAAGACATCCTGGGAACCCAAGTTAGGGGAGGCAAGCCAGGCAGCTGTTGGAAGAGTATGTGTCTGGGACTCAGTGGAAGACAGGATCAAGAGCCTTTGTGATTCTATTCCTCTTATTGGGTTTCTCTCCTTACACTGTAGCATCTCAGATGCATGGCCAATAGCCCACACTTGAGTCAGGGTAAGTTAGATCATGCTGTGGCAACACACAGCCCCATATCTTAGCGATTTAAAATAACACCACCCCCCTGTTGGTGGGGGGTCAACAGAGGGCACCTGCTCATCACTGTGATGGTGATGAGCTTGCAGCCAGAGTTCCCGGGGAATAGTTGATGCAAATCCGAGTCCCTAAGGCAATCAGGATTTCAGCCTGGCGGAAATGAGGTGTTTCATCCTTACATGTTAAAAATCACTGTGCCAAAGTGAAAGAGGGTCTGTCTGGACCTTGATAACGAAATTCTCTCTAGATCATGAATTACACTTGTCAGAGTTCTCCAGGAAAACAGAACCCAACGGCAGTCGATGCATGTATATCTCTCTCTCTCTCTGCCTGTCTATCTATCTACTTACCTACTCACCCGCCTCCTTCACTCCCTATATTTACCTTTAGGAATTGGCTCATTTAATTGTGGGGACTGGCAAACCCATATATATACAGGCCAGCTCGCAGCCAGGGGTTCCAAGGAATAGTTGGCACTGCAAATTTGCATCGGTAAGGCCATCTGGAGGTTGATGTCCATCTTCCACAGGGTTTTTTTCTTTAAGATCTTCAAAAGAATGGGTAAGACCACTTACATTATGAAAAACAGTCAACTTTATTTGCAAGTCTACTGACTTAAATGTTTATCCATGTCTTCACTTCAGACTGGTGTTTGGCCAAGTATCTGGTGCCATAGCCCCACAAAGTTGACACAACTTTGACCCTCACAACAACACTGTCTCTACTGGTTCATGGGCCACAATAAGTCATGTGGCCCTCCCCAAACAAGAAGGGAAGGAAGAACCAACTGCTCTGAAGGGGAGTTGGGACCTATAAGATTTGACTAAGCAACCGTATGCAGCATTACTGGGGGAGGCAAGTTCCATTGCAGTTTTAGACATCGAACAACAAGGCTCCTTAATTCATGCCAGAGGTTGAGCACGAGTATGTGTGATGATCCCTGGCAGCCAGGTGTACTAAAGTTTAAGACTTACTGAACACTTTCTCTGTTTTTATCCTTATGTTCTTAAATAGTTTTCTCTGTGTTGTTATGTTCAAGAAGCACCTGGATGCTATGTACTTTAATGCCCCATAAAATAATTTGGCCTTTGTGCCATCCTTTTAGTACAAATCCATCAAGTTGCATTTTGGGGGAGTGGGGTACTTGGATCAGAAAGAGATCAGGTGTTACTTTGCCACCATCTCACTCTGTGCTTCTGCTAAGTTCCTCCCTACTGTGAGTCTGAGCTTTCCTGGCCATCCAGGGAGGCATTGAGCAATGGAACTTAAAGTTTCTTCTGGCTCTATGTCTGTGCGCCTGTGGTCCCCGCCCTCTGCCAGGCTATGAGCACTGGCTATGACAGTTTTCCTCCGTGAAGCCTGTGGCATCATTCTGGGATCTCACTGGAAGCCCACACCTCACCAGCTATCCCAGAGAAAATGCATGCTACACACCAGCAGGGAAGCGTTGTTTCTGTGCCTTCTGGCTCTCTGGTGTCTCGTGCTTGATTGGAAGAGTTGCTGAACACAAGCATCTTCTAGGATGGAGCACCAGGAGGCATACACAAGGAGAAGCAGGAGATGGGGGTGGTCCAGCCTGGCCTGAAAGAGGACAGGGGGACTAGCCAGCCCTTCAAGGCAAATCTGACCTCCAAAGGGCAGGGCTTCAAGGACTTCAAGCATCACTTTCTCCCTTCGGTACTAGATCTAACACTTCTAATATACACACTGGTCAGGTTAAGAAGCTCAATGAGATCACATAGGAGGGGATGCCTGGAAAGCTATGTGCGCTCTTCAGACAATAGTGAGCATTGTGTTGCCTTATTTAGGTGCTAGTTTCTCAGGATGGAGAAGTTAGCAAAGATACTAAACTAATTGGAATACAGATGATGTGCACACTAATGGAATGCTTAGAGCAACACTTGTAGGGCTCAGAGAAGGGGGCAATCCATTGTACTTATAACATACAAGGTTCCATATAAACTGGGTCTTGAAGGGACTTGACAGCAAGAAAGGAGATCCTTGGGAAGAGACACTACACGAACAAATGCCAGATCGCCAGGTAGGGACCCTCTGCAAGTCTGGCTGTGACCAGGGTGGGGCAAAGTGAGGGGAAGCTGGAGATGGGGTTGGTGATGAAACTGTGAAGGGTCTGGAACCACACAGGAGGAGATGGGTCTTAACTGAAGTTTTCATTTTTTTTTAAGACTTAATTTATTTGTGCATACAGAACTGGGATACAGGTCAGAGGTGCAGGGCAGTGAGATACTTCACCAGAGACAGAGTGGGGAGCAGAACAGGCCGACTGACAAAGTATACACTGCTGAGGGGAGCAGCGGGCAGGTCAGGAGAGGTCTGCCGCGTTATGTGGTTACCTCCAGGGCCGGGAATTGAACTCATGCTGCAGTGGCTGCAGCTTCTTAGTGCTGGGCTTTAACCCACTGCACCACCAGGGAAGGCCCTAAGTTTTCATTTTTTAAGAACCAGGTCTTTAAAGAATTGTTTTAAATTCAGATTGGGCTGAAAGAAGAAAACTCTTGCTTTCATTTCCATGACTAAAACCTAATTCAAATAGATTTAATCCCAGCATCTTTTCATTGTCCTGTTGGTTTTACTATGCTGCTTCCTGGTAGCACGAACATGTCAGTATGTCCATTTACCTGTGCTAGTCTCTGTGCTTTGAAAATTTTAAGTTTTAATTTATAGGGGGGATGATCACTTATTTTAAGAAGTGTAACTGTAAAGATATAATGAGACCAAGAACAAGCAATTCCTCTCTTTAGGCAGTTAGGGCTAAGCGTGCAGGTAATTCCTTCATGGAGCATTTTGAGGGCAGGGCCCCTGTCTTAAATATGGACTTTTTTAGGGAATGAATGTAATCCTGGTAGGTGCTTCCTCTGCAATTTAGGCTGATAAAATGTGCCCCCCCTCCCCCAACCCCACCAGGCTTAGTGGCTGAGCTCCAGTGAAGATCAAATCCAAATGTTTGCATTTATTATCCATGGAACCTTGTCAGATTACACTCTAGCCTCAGTTTCTTCATCTTTAAAGTAGGGATAGAAGCAAAAGTACCTACATCCTAAACTGTGCTTGCACATAGTGAGGGATTAGTATAATTAGCTCCCTGTGGATGAATTCAGCTCCTTGGGAAGTTGAAGGAGGAGAAACTCCCCCAGAGAAGGTGCTTTCAGCCTGTTTCCCACTCACCAGGAGACGGATGAGCCTGTCCAAGCCCTCAGGATTAGGCAAGTGTCCTGCCAGGGGCCTGGTGCCTGTTCAGAGTTCCTTCCTGGGGAAAGCTGGCTCATCCTCTGTCTCTCCTTCCTGCCTAGGATCTCCTGGCTCCCAGAGCAGGCTGTCCCTTTAAGAAAGGCAGCTGCACACAGTCCAGCAGTGGTGCACCCTGCTGGCCCTGCTTCCCCTGCTGGGTGCCCTGGGCTGCAGCTGGGACCCTCCTGGATTGGATTTGAGTGCTAGAGCCTTTGGAGAAGGGTAGCTGTGGAGGGGGGCTGTTTCAAATCCACTGCACACCCCTCAGAATCCATGACCAGAGAAGACTCTCTGTCAGTAGCCCCACAGAAGCCCTGGGCTCCCCAAACCCAGCCCTGGCTCTGGGACATAGGAGGATCATTCTTAAGGACTGAGCTCAGGATCCCTAAAAAAAAGTCGGAAAATAGCTGGATAAACTTGGTAAGTAAGAGAAACCCATGTTGTTTCCTCCTCCTTGTATTGTGGATTGTGGATGTGAGGTTGAGACTGCTGAATCTTGCCGGGTGGAATCCGAGAGAGAAATGTAGGAAGGAGAAGCTGGGAGCCGGGCTGGGATTCCCAGCGGGTAGTACGCCTTGGAATTGGGGATATCCCTGACCCTCTCCTGCCAGTGTTTGTTGCCCTGGTGGCAGAGAGCGGAGGGTTGACATCTGGGAATATCTGGACCCTGGCCCAAGGAGTAAAGATCAGGGAGGGGCAGATGTCAGATTTCTCTCTCATTTGGCAAAAACAAAGTGTGGTCAGTGAGGGCTGTTTGCAAAGATGCTGGAGGCCAAGTGACATTTACAGCCTTAGGGTGAAGTGAGTGGTCTTGTGATTCTGTCTCAGCAAGGGATTCTGGCCAATTCCTCTTTCTCCTGGGGTAGAGAGGCAGACCAGGCCCTCGGCTTGTTCTCCAGGCCCCCAAGAGTTTTGTGCTGACCCTTTGGATGGGGGTAGCTGCGGGCAGTCATTGTGGGAGGAGGCAGGTCTGTCAAGGGCCGGGAAGAATGGGAGCCCTGTTGTTGCAGAAGCCTGGGAACGCAGCCCTGAGGGAGGCCCACGCTGCCCAGAGCTCGGCTTGAGAAGGAAGCGGGCCGTGGTCTGCACAGCAGGCAGAGGCTTGGGCCTGGGCTGACATCCCACCTTCTGTGAGCTGACGGTCCCTTGGTTTCATTCCTGTGGCGTGGACACAAGTGAGGTCCAGGGAGTGAATGCCCAGGTGCAGTTTGGAGAACTGGGTGTTGTGCCTCTCTGGAGGAGGCAAGATATAGTAGCAGCCTCCGTCCCTGGCTTGATTTCCAGATCAGAGCTGTTCTTTACTAAACTGTGTTCCAACTGCCCTTTCTGTTTGCCTTTAGGCCAAATTGTGCGGCAGGTTTACCGAAACAAAAAATGTCTTGGAATTATGTGTGAGGCTCTAGAAAGATGTGTTGGATATGGGACTAAAGTCACTTTTGAAAAGCAATAATCGTAGTTACCATTTATTGTGTTCCTTGAGAGTATCCGTCCCCATGAGAAATGCTTTATGAGTATCATCTCCTGTAATTCACCCAATCACTTTTTTTTTTTTTGAGTCTGGAATAATTTTGAAGGTCTTATAGATGATGACACTGAAGCTCAGAGGGGTTAAGGAAAGGTCCTAGCTCCTGAGGAGACAGAAGTGGAAAATTGTGGAACCAGGATTTGAACTTCATTCGTTTGCTCACCAGAGATGGACTGTCACAAGTTTAATGACCAGGACGGTGCCAGCCATCCTGGTGGGCACTGAAGGCTGCAGAGAATAAGACTAGGGTAGCCGCAGGTGAAACTAAGTCCCTAGGTGGATCCTCCACCCTGTACAGTGACTCAGACAGACCCAGATTCTTCTGGGGGTCATGTGGGAAACTCTGCTTGAGAATGAACTTTTCTTTAAGAATTGTTTCACTTTGTTTGCATTTTAATGATCACCTAGAAATTGAATGTGTCATCTGAGCCCTCTGAATGGCCACCGTACAACCTACCACTGGCATGAGATTGTAGTCCCCAAGTTTGTTTCTGTGCAAATTAGCACCAAGTGATACTGTTCAATTTTCAGTGTTTCCTTTCTTCCACTTGGTTCTACATTGTGGGCTTGGAAGGCACAAAGTGCCAAGGATTAGAAATGGATACACTGATTCTACTGCAAGAAGCGTGGACTTCTGCAGAGGAAACGGCTCAAAATCTCCTCTCCTGGCCGGGAGTGAACTGGGTTTGGCTGAAGCAGAGCAGTGGGTGGGTCGTCCCGATCATTGAGTCTTCGGGTCTTTCGGATTGGAATAGACCCAGTCCAGGGACTCTGAAAGGAAGCTACAGGTCAGCAAAGACAGAAGCTCCTGAATGAGGACCCAGAAGCCAGAACATAGCGCCTCTGACCCCCAGTAAGTGGCTGCTCCTGTCTAGACCTTTGCCGATGGAACAACTTGTACTGAGCCTGCTGGGAGCTCTGTGTGACTTCCTTTCAAAAGGAAGTTACTCTCCCTCTGGTCATTCCAGAACTTTCCACTTTTCCCGTGGCCTGGCTGTTAGGTGATGCAGGGAACTGTGGCTGTGACTTTGAATACTTGTCTGGAGCTTACACTACCACATCATGTTGATCGGGTATGTTGGCACTTGGGTGGGGCCGGGTGGCAGCACACTATATGGATGGGAAGTCTCACCAGTGTGGGCACTGGAGACAGGACACCCCTGACCCATCTTACTCTTGTTCCTCTTTCACCTCCTTTTGCTGATCTTGCCAGGAGGCAGCCTGTGATCACACTTGCTTCAGTGATGGCCTGGCCTGTCTTTGCACCCTAGTTCTCCTTCCCTAGACCCATCCTGCCTTTTCCTGTCTTCCACATTAGAAGTTGGAAAGCCTTTGCTGTAAGAGTCCCAAGAGGAAAGATTGCAGTTTTTTGCCCACACCGTCTATGTTGCCTTCCCCCAACCCCAGAGCAGACTTGGATGTGTCTCAATGGCTATAGCTATGGCTGTGTGCCAGAGAAACTGTACTTCTGGAAGCTGGGACAGAGCCAGATCTGGCAACCCCAGGTCCAGGAGGCATTAGTCTTTGCTGAAAACCTCTGCTAGTTCCCAACATCCTCTTGACTCCTTCACAGGATGGGCCGCAGCCCCTTCTATATCTCCAGGGCCATCTTCTGCAAGGTTCCTTCCCATGCCCCCTTCAGCCCCACTCTTGAGCCATGTTTCCCATGCCACCTGGTCTTCCTCAAATATGCTCACCTTTTTTCATGCCTCCAAGACTTTGCCCATGCATACCCTCTGCCCGGAATGCCTTCCCCCCTGCTCCCAATGTCCTCTCCACTCATCAGATCGGCGACTCCTTCTTTAGGTCAGTTCTCTCCTCCTTGTGTCTTGCCGTGATACTCAGGGCTCTGTAGGCTCCTCCTCTCAGTGACCCTGCCACTCTGCCCTTTCCTTGGGACTGAGCCTTCTTTGCTACGCTGTGGTGATACGTTCCTAACTTTATCTCATCAAGGGCCTGCTGGGCAGGAGGCACTCAGGAAATAGTGTGGGCATAAACACCAGTGACCTCTCCCTGCCCCCCTCCCGGGGCTCTAGCTGTGCCATTTCAGGAAGTCAAGATCTTGTCACATGTGGGGCACTGAAGCGCCCATCCTGGAGCTAAATCCGTCACCAGCCCTGTAACCCGAGCCTGCTGTTCCCTGCGCCCCATGATCGGGTGTCCATGTTTATTTTGACATCCCGTGCGGGGCATGGAGTGGGGCATGAGAGAGCCAGATTTCAAAGCAAGAATTTTCACTAGCAGCCGCTGAAGGCCAAGCCCCTGCCAGCACCGGGCTCCCATGTCAGCATTTTCACTTAACTAAGAAAACAAGCCCCACGCCTCTGACAGAGATGGTTCTGCCACTTCAGGACAGAGGATTTGTGTCCACCTTCGGGAGTGGCCTCCCAGGTCTGGCAGGGCAAGCTGAAAGAGGATGTGGGCAAGTGAGGCAGGGAGCACCCACGGGTGCCTCTCAGCCAGCCCAGGTGCCTTGCAGGTTGGATCATCGGGGCCAGCTCCAGGCGGGGGCTGAGTATGTACTTCTGCTCCCCTTCCCCTGCCAGGGTGTTTTCTCGTTAAGTGGGTGAGAATAGGAGAGGGGAGACAAGAGGCTGGACTTTGCAGGAACTGGGTTATCCTAGCTGCCAGGCTCTAAGAGGAGAGAGGGGAATCCGAGGGTGGTTTCAGGTGGGCTCAGGTAGCTCTCCTGCAAAGGACAGCCTGTCAGGCTTGCTACTCAACCTCACAGAGTGTCAATGGGAATCAAAAAAGGTTGTCTGCTCCTTGAGAGGAGAGCAGTTCATCCCATTGCTGGAGAAGCAGCCCCGCTCTGCCTGGGGGTGGAGTGGGGCACATCCCTGAGCCTGGCAGGCCCACTTCACTCTGTGGTGGCAAGAAGATGCTGGGTCTCTACTGGTGCCATGCCCTGGCAGGGTGGCATCTGGCAGGTAGAGGTTGGAACTGGTTTCTGGAGTTCATTGCAGGAGCGCAGACACGACCTGTCCCACAGTACACAGGTATGGAGCAGGGACCTCTCTCCCAGGTGTGTGTGCCCTGTGGGCAGGTGGGAGTTTGTAGCCCCAAGATGTGAGTTCTTTCTGCAGTGCCCAGCTGGCAGGGGTCCAGGCACCTCTCTGACGGTGGAAAAGACACCAGTCCTGCTCTATCCCAGCTGAACAGCCCAGGACAACTTATTTGGCATTTGTAAATCTCCAGGTTCTCACTAGGAAATGGGCACAAGGCTCATGTTTTATGGGCGTCCTGAAGGTATAGGTGTGTGTTGATAAATACTGGTAAGGCCTGTGCCATGCCTTCTGAAGGGCCTGGATTCCTTCCCCATTGGACCCTGGCCTTGGTCTTGTTTCTGCCTGCCTGCTCAGTGTCTGACTGTCTTAAAGCAGACTGGGGAGGAAAGAAACAAGAAGCAGCCGGGAGAGAAGAGGCCTGAGGAAGAAGTGACTTTGGGACCTGCTCTTGCTGCCTGATTTAACTGTTCCAAATCACTGACAGGAGGTGGCAAGTACATTTTGACATCTGAAAGCCCTGTCTCTTAACATCTTAGTATCTCATGGCTCCCTGCTTTCTACAAAGAAACATGCAGTGGGAGGTGGGGCTGTTTCAGAAAGTTAAGTTCTCAGGTGAGCATGTGTGGCTCCTGAGAGAGGTCTTATTTTTGTTGGGCCTGGATTTGTGTGTGTGTGTGTGTGTGTGTGTGTTTTGTTTTGTTTTGTTTTTTAAACTGACAGAATTCTCAAGGTATGTAGGTGACTTTTCTTTCCTGGAAAACATCAAAAACGCCAGCTAGTCCCCAACCCCTTCCTCCCTGAACTGCCTTTTATTTTTTTAATTATTTATTTATGCATACAGAACTGGGGTATAGGCCAGAGGTACAGGGGGTGAGAGGATTCACCCG